AGTATGTGGAAGCCCAGGACCCAGGACAGTGGGTGATGTGGGTTGGGTGAACAGGACAGGCAGCTTCTTGGACTTCTATAGCTCACATCTGGAGGTCTGCCTGAAGCTTGCTGAGCCAGCATGCAGAGCAAAGCTTCTTCAGCAGACCCAAAGTGCACAGATTATTGGGCCCCAGGATTCTGTGTAATTCCCACCCATCCACCATGCTCCAAGCCCAGGTACATACCTGGATGTACAGAGGCCACAAACCTCCAAAGGATCATCACTAGGAAGGGGGCAGACAAAACCTTGTTCTCAGCTAAGAACTATTCTGCTTATTTGGGAATTGCTCTTACTTTGTCGCTGGGCTTTGAGAAACAGAAAGCTGGGTGACCCAGACCTGGGCAGTTTATCAAGTAGCCATAAAGGCCTTCCCCAGAGAGGCAGGGCCTAGACAAAGGTAGGGCTGACCAGCCCTGGAAAAGCGCAGGAGTGCTGTGATTTCAAGCAAGTCTTCTCCAGTCACACCTCCTCAGCTCTCAATCATGGCCTTACGTAGAACTCGGCACACCCAAGTTACTGGGAACGCTGGGTTGACAGCCACATGGCATAGTGACAGTGACATCAACCATGGGAGGAAAAGTTATCTACCCTGATTTCACACCTGCTTTTCCACCAACTATTCTCTTACCAGCATCACCCATGCAACATAGGTATCTCTCTCTCTGGTGCTAGTACTGGAACTTGAACTCGGGGCCTGATACTGTCCTTTAGTTTTTTCACTCAAGACAGGTGCCCTACCATTTGAACCACAGCTTACTTCTGCCTTTTTTTTTTTTTTTGCTGTTCATTGGAGAGAAGAGTCTCTCAGACTTTCCTGCCTTGGCTGGCTTCAAACCTTGATCCTCAGCCTGAGAATGTGGCATAGCGGTGTACTACTTGCTATAGTACTTGCCTAGCATGCATGAAGCCCTGGATTCGACTCCTCAGTACCACATAAACAGAAAAGGCCAGAGGTGTGGCTTCAAGTGGTAGAGTGCTAGCCTTGAGCAAAAAAAGCAGATCAGGGATAGTGCCCAGGCCCTGAGTTCAAGCTCCAGGACATATATAATATATATATATATATTATATATATATGTATATGTATGTATACACACACACACACACACACACCAAACCACCAAACACCTCGATCCCAGATCTTAAGTGGACCTATCCACTCAGACATGAGCCACATGGCTAAGTGTAAACACTGTGGCATCTGCCTATGAACTAAGTTTACAATGAAAGGAGGACTGTGCTGCTAGATCCACTAACCTCACTATGCACCCAACAAACAGAACAGTGGAACAGCCTATGGAACGCTGGGCTTCCGAGGCAGATGGAAGGCAAACAGCCTGAGCACTCGGATTCCATTTACATTCAAAGCAGTTCTGGAAACGTCCACATCCTTCTGAAGAAGTTCTTCTGTTGCTTGCATCTAAAATCTCTACAGCATTTCCCCTCATGTGCCATCTACTATATTTTTATTGTTTTTGTCAGTCGTGAGGCTTGAACTCAGGACCTGGGTGCTGTCCCCTGAGCCTCTTTGTGCTCAAGGCTAGTGCTCTACCACTTGAGCCACAGCACCACTTCCAGTTTTTGAGAGGCTTATTGGAGATAAGAGTCTCCTGGGGACTCTTCTGCCCGGCTGGTTTTGAACCACGGTCCTCAGATCTCAGCCTCCTGAGTAGCTAGAATTACAGCTGTGAGCCACAGGCACCAGGCCTATTGTATTTTTAAAAGGTTATTCCTATTTATTTATTTATTTTGGGGTGCTGATTCTGGGGTGTCTGGGTGCTGTCCCTGAACTTTTTTGCTCAAGGCTAGTGCTCTATCACTTGAGACACAGCTTCACTTGCAGCTTAAAAAAAAAATGCTTAATTGGAGATAAGAGTCTTGTAAAAGGGGTTGGGAAGGCAGCTCAGTGGTAGAGCGCTTGCCTTGCATGCCTGAGGCTCTGGGTTCAATTCCTCAGCACCCCATAAGCAAAAAGAATAAAGCTGGAAGTGGCGCTGTGGCTCAAGTGGCAGAGCGCTAGCCTTGAGCTGAAGAGCTGAGGTACAGTGCCCAGGCCCAGAGTTCAGGCCCCACGACCAGAACCACCCCCCCCCCCCAAAAAAAAAAAAGAGCCTCGTAGAATTTCTAGCTGGGCTGGATAACCTCAGACTTGGGCAGTTTCTCATGATCCTCAAATCTCAGCCTTCTGAGTAGCTAGAATTCTAGGCATAAGCCACCAGGGCCCAGCTCCCATACCCATTTCTAATCTCTATTCCCTACAGTACGTAGAACACTGTACTTTTCATGGTGTAAGACACAGATTGTAAACTCATGGACTCTGGCTTATATCTGTAGAGCATTTTAATCAATCTGAAGTGTGCATATGTGTGTTTGTGTATGTATTTAAATGATTTATACCAGGTATGGCAGTACTTGCACTTAGGAAGCTGAATGAGGAGAATCACTTCAGCCCAGGAGTTTCATATCATACTGTAATATGTAGTGAGACCCTGTTTCCTGGAGAAAAAAAAAAAAAGGATGTGGTGGCATACACAGTAATCCCAGTGGAGGTACAAGCTAAGACCTTATTTTGGAAAAAATGAAAAGCAAAAGACCATAGTAGCCAATAATTAAAATTCAAAAGACTTCAATGAGATCCATACTTACTTCCATCTTTCCCTGAAGATTTGGCCTGCATTTAAACAGTGGTCCTTTTTTTTTTAAAAAAAACAATAATTTATTTTGCTGGTCTCAGCTTCCTGAGCAGCTAGGATTTTAAGCACGTGACATATATTTCAATAAATATGTGCTTATAAACTTCTCTTTTTTCTGTTTTTTTGGTGGTACTGGGGCTTGACTCTGGGTGTTCCTAACCTTTTGTGTTAAAGACTAGCATTCTACCACTACTTGAGCCACAGCTCCACTTCTGGCTTCTGCTGGGGCTGGCTTCAAATGAGAATCCTGATCTCAGCCTTCTGAGTTGTTGGATTACAGGCACGTGCTCTTGGGCTCTCTCTCTGAGACAGGGTCTTAAGTCCAGGTTGATATAGAATTTAGAATCTTACTTCAGACTCCAGAGCATTGGAATTACAAGTAGGAACTACTGCCTGGCTAAGAGAAAGGTTCTATAAAGCAGGGTGTGGTGATACTGCGCTCTTCTGGGGCTGGTGGCACACCCGATTAATCCTAGCTACTCAGGAGGCTGAGATCTGAGAGTGGCAGTTCAAAGCCAGCCCAGGCAGGAAAGTCCATCATACTTTTTGTTGTTGTTGTTTTTGTTTATGTGGTACTGAACCCAGGGCCTCATGCATGCTAGGCAAGCACTCTACCTTTAAGCCACCTTCCCTGGCCCTTCCCATCAGGCTCTTATTTCCAATTAACCACCAGAAAAATCGGAAGTGCCTGTAGTCCAAAGTGGTAGAGCAGAGTGTAGCTCAGAGACAGCGCCCAAGCCCCAAGTTCAAGCCTCAAGAGGACAAACAAACAAAACCCAAACCCCTGGATTATATAATGAGTTCAAAGCCAGCCAGGGCTACAAGGGGAGACCCTTTCCCAAAGAATACAAAACACTGCTCCAAAAAAGCTGCGTGCCAGTGGTGCACACCTGTGACCCCATCTCCAGTGGTGCACACCTGTGACCCCATCTCCAGTGGTGCACACCTGTGACCCTATCTCCAGTGGTGCACACCTGTGACCCCATCTCCAGTGGTGCACACCTGTGACCCCATCTCCTGTGGGACACACCTGTGACCCTATCTACTGGGGAGGCTGAGATCTGAGGAGCATTCCACGAAGCCAGGCCCGGAAGCAAGTCCAGTAGACTTTTATCTCCAATGAACCTCCAAAGCCGGAAGTGGATCTCTCTACAAACAAAAACAAACAAAACAAAAACCGCGTTCCCCTGGCCAGGGCTGACGCTGAGCGCCCCGCCGGTGTCCCCGACCTGGGCGCCTCGGATCTCGTCGGGGTTCACCCCGGGGCCAAGCCGAGACCCCGGGGAGGGGGGAACTTGTCCGAAGAGAAGTTGGACCGGCTTCCCAGTGGGACAGGGTGGCCGTGGGCGCGGGTGCGGGCGGCGGGGCTGCGCGGGGAACGGCGCCCGCGGCCGGGGAAGGTCGCTGCGCGGCGGCGAGGGTGGGGACGCCGGGCGCCGCCTCTGAGCGACCCTCCCTCGCCCCGGAGGCCCGCGGTGCGGCCGGGACGCGGGGCTCCCGAGCCGCTGTCACCGGGGCCGTTTCAGGGCACTCCACCCCAGCCGTCGGGGGGGGGGGTCTGACCTCGTGGGGAGGGTCGCCCCCACTTCCGCGCGCCGCCCCCCCCAGCTCCCCTGCAAGGCCGGCCGGCCTGGGGCCCCCGGCCGCTGGAATCGCTCCCCCGCATCCCTGCCCAGCGCTCCCCGAGGGGGTACCCGGGGATGACATGTGCGGGCGCCCCTGGCCTCCGACCTCGGGGTTGGAGGTCGTGAGGAGTTTGGGGGCCCCTCCGGGCCCTCCTCGCCTCGCCCCGGCAGAGACGTCGGAGTGAGGGCGCGTCCGGGAGCCGCGCAGCGCCGCTGCGCCCCCGCAGCGCGGCCCCCGGCGGCCCCGACCCCGCGCCCCAGGCGCCCCCGCCCCTCCAGCGCCGCCGCGGCGCTCCCGCGCTCCCCCTAGCGGCCGCCGCGCCGCCTCGCTCCGTCCCAGGCTCGTCGGCGGCGCAGCTCACGTGACGCGCTCCTGGGCCTGCGGCCGCTGTCGGTTCCCCCAGTCACCGAGCGAGAGGGAGGAAACAAGATGGCGGCTGAAGGCGATCCGGAGTGGGGCCCCAGCAATTCGGACTGAGCCTTCTCCCCTCCGCCCGCTCCCGCCGGCCGGGCCCCTCCCGCCCGGCCCCGCCGGCCTCCCCCCCCGGCCCCCGGCGCCCCCCCCTCACCACCCCGCGCCCCTCCCCCTCCGCTTTCCTTCACCCCCTCCCCCTCCTCCGCCTCCCCCGGCCGCCGCTCCGACATGAGGGGCCGGCGGGGCAGGCCGCCCAAGCAGCCCGCGGCGCCCGCGGCGGAGCGCTGCGCCCCGGCCCCGGCCCCGGCCCCGCCGCCGCCGCCGCCCCCGCCGCCGCCGCCGCCGCCCGCGTCCGGACCCATCGGGGGCCTGCGCTCGCGGCACCGAGGCAGCAGCCGGGGCAGGTGGGCCGCCGCCCAGGCTGAGGTGGCGCCCAAGACGCGGCTGAGCTCGCCCCGGGGGGGCGGCAGCGGCCGGAGGAAGCCGCCGCCGCCGCCGCCGCCGCCGGCCCCCCCCAGCACCGGCGCCCCGGGCCGGGGGGGGCGAGGAGGCGGGGGCGGCAGGACGGGGGGCGGCGGCGGCGGCGGCGGCGGCCACCTGGCCCGGACCACCCCGGCCCGGCGCGCCGTCAACAAAGTGGTGTACGATGACCACGAGAGCGAGGAGGACGAGGAGGAGGACATGGTCTCGGAGGAGGACGAGGAGGAGGAAGAGGAGGAAGGCGACGCCGACGAGACCCAGGACTCGGAGGAAGACGACGAGGAGGAGATGGAGGAGGACGAGGACGACTCCGATTATCCGGAGGAGATGGAAGATGACGACGACGACGCCAGCTACTGCACGGAGAGCAGCTTCAGGAGTCACAGCACCTACAGCAGCACTCCAGGTACGCGCCCCGCGGGGCCGCCGCGCGCCCCGGCCCCCCCCCCCCCCGCCGGTGTGCCGAGCATCCTGCGCCCGGCTCCCCCCCCACCTCCCCAAACGCCGGGCCCCGGCGACGCCGACCGCAAGTGGCAAAAAAACAACCCCAGCCCCACAGCCACCCCCCAAAACTCGATTTGCAAGAGAAAAAGAGGCGCATTGTTCAAAATGGAGATTGCATTGTTGCCTGGCAGGCCACACACGCTCGCTCGCTCCCTTTCTCTACCTTCCTCCATGCCATCCCACCCTCAGCCCCGCACCCCCCTCCCCGGCCCTCCTCCCTCCTCCCCCCCTCCTTCAAAATGTGTGCCACCGCAGTGCCCGGGCCGGGCAGGGTTGAAACTTTGGCACGCATCCATTGTGTTTACTTATTTATTTATTTTGTCTCTTTTCTCCTCCTGTTTTGGGGTGGTGTGCGTTGGGAATGAAGCAAGCCTCTCGTGTTGGCCAGACCTCTGGGCAGCGCGAACGTGGGTTCCTGACGGTTTTTATTTTATTTTATTATTTTCATCCTTATTCTGGCTCTGTTCCTTAAACGGGGGTCGAGGATTTGGGTAGCTTGTGGCAGCCCCGGCACACGCACAACACGCTCCCCTCTCTCGTGGCAGTGCGGTCTGAAAAGCGTGGTGGGTTGGACGGAGGGGGGTGGGAGGGGAGCTCTTCTGGTCCCGCGCGTGTGGTGTGTGTGTGTGTGTGTGTGTGTGTGTGTGTGTGTGTGTGTGTGTGTTCAAGTGCCCATGGGCGCGTGCAACAGTTGCGGGCACATTGCAAGGCCCAAAGCAGAGGACCCCGCATTCGACAGTCGAGGAGGTTCCAAATCATGTTAGTGCAATCCGGAAAGTCAAGTACAGAACCGCAGGGCCCCTAGGTCTCCGGAGCCCTGGGCTCTGCCGGGGAAACGCAGTTCGGTGGCACCTGTTGCGGAAGATGTGTAGTCGATCGTCCAGGCGCGAGTGCGGAAGAACTTTGCAGGTCACCCACTCACAACAAATGTACCACCATACTTTCCTCCTGCCATGTCTGAGGAAAAAGGCCTCCGCGATCTCTTAAGGCATTTCTCCATGCTGACGGCTCTCCTGTTTTCTCACAAAGTTTCTCAAGGCTAATGCTGAGATACATTTTGTAAAAAAAAAAAAAAAAAAATTAAAAAGAAAAGAAAGTAACCCACGCACAATTGCTGCTTTGTATTAAATGCGGAGTTGTGGTTTACTAACTTGTCAAAAAATATAACTTGTAACAACAAGCTATCGGGTCTGTATATTTTGTGAACGTGGGTTAAATAAATTACAATCCAGTTCTAGAAGCATTTACAAAGTAAAGTTTGTGAGGAAATAGGAACTTAAAGTAACCAACTTGTAATTTGCCATTTTTACAGAGATTGGGAGAATGAAAAGTGGTTAAAGGTTTCCGTTTTTTTAATAGACGCATAAGTGTTTATCAGGAGAAATACAGCTGTTAAGCCAGATGCAAATCCATTTAGGTTTTCCTAACTTGAAGTGAAAAAGGTAATTTCTTTTGTGTGGTGGTAGTAAGCATTGTGGTCTGTCTTAGGGGAGTGAGGGGAGAGGCTGGCAGGTAAAAGGCATAAGCCAATGTGAAATATGTATGTCTTTTACTGCTTGAACATGTTTTAATTTCTTGGGTGTGTGTGTGGGGGGGGGTTGTTTGTTTGTTTTGTTGTGGGACTTGAATTCTGGGCCAGGGCACTGCCACTGAGCTCTTCAGCTCAAGGCTAGTGCTCTACCACTTGAGCCACAGCACTACTTCCGGTTTTCTGGTGGCTCATTGGAGATAAGAGTCTCAGGGATGTTCCTGCCTGGGCTGGCTTTGAACTGCGATCCTCAGATCTCAACCTCCCTGAGTAGCTAGGGTTACACGCGTGAGCAACCAGTGCTCGGCTCTGTGTGTCTTTTTTATTTTTTTTTCTCTGAGGGGACTCTAACTCAATAGCTGATGTTTTTGCTCACTGGCAGTGTACCACCTGAGCCACGCCTCCAGCCACATGCACATCTTTCTCTCTTCTTTTTTTTTTTTGGACAGTTGTGGGGCTTGAATTCTGGGCCTGGGCACTGTTCCTGAGCTCTTTCAGCTCAGGGCTCATGCACATTTCTTATACGTAATAGGTTTTATCTTAAGAAGTCTTCCCTTTGTACCAAGAATTGAAACCTGAAGACTAAAGTATGTTCATGACTGGAGAAAGTTTTTTCAAGTTAAAACTGAGGCATTTTGGCAGGATAGTTCAATGGTTCCGCTAACTTTAATTCCTGATTAAGACCTAGCAAATAATACTTAGCATTGATGGCAGTGCATATGTTAAGTTAGAATTGGTGGTTTTGTGTGTGTGTGTGTGTGTGTGTCTGTCTGTCTGTCTGTCTGTCTGTCTATGTCTGTATATGTTGCTGTTGGGACTGAAACTTGGGACCTGTGCTCTGGGTGCTAACCCTTAGCTTTTCTGCTTAAGGCTGGCACTGTATCCCTTGAGCCACAACTCCACTTCTGGCTTTTTGGTGGTTAACTGTAGGTAAGAGTCTCTCTGACTTTCTTTCCTGCCTGGATTGGCTTTGAACCACCATCCTCAGGTCTCAGCCTCCTGAGTAGGCAGGATTATAGGTGTGAGCCACCAGTGCATGGCAGTCTTCTTTTTTAAAACAAGAAATTTGTTTATTTATGATACTTGGGGGGAACAATTTTTTCCTGACACTTTAGCATACTTGGGGTTACTTGTCCTGTATTTACTTGAACTTACTGACTCCTCATGGATCCTACTGACATAGCAGGAACTCAAGAAAGTTGGGTTAGATAAATTATTGTAGTGAGGATTTGTAATAGATGAAGTTTTGAGAATTGTTCAGCTTGTGTCATAACACATATTTTGGATTTAAGACACAGAGTTGGTCTGATTCGGTTTTGGTCAACAATTTTTTGTTTACTTTCTAAATTTGTTTTTTTTTTGGGTTGGTCCTGGGGCTTGAACTCTGGGCCAGGGCACTGTCCCTGAGCTCTTTAGCTCAAGACTAGTGCTCTACCACTTGAGCCACAGCACTACTTCCGGTTTTCTGGGTAGATAATTGGAGATAAGAGTCTGATGGGGATGGGAATGTGGCTTAGTGGTAGAGTGCTTGCCTAGTATGCATGAAGCCCTGGGTTCAATTCCTCAGTACCACATACACAGAAAAAGCTGGAATCTCATGGACTTTCCTGCCTGGACTGGTTTTGAACCACCATCCTTAGATCTCAGCCTCCTGAGTAGCTAGGATTATAGGCATGAGCCACCAGTGCCCAGCCTACTTTCTAAATTTCAAATGGTTGTACAGTACAAGGGGATTCCAGTTTAACATGTTCAAATAGGTGTCCAGTGATTGATTACAGCCCTTCTTGCCAAACAGTTTGACCGATAGCTGTTTCTAATAGCAACGAACTTGATTGCCAGGGAGCTTCCTTTGTGGAGTTAACTTGAATGTCTTACTTTTTTTTGGGGGGGGAGCTAGTATTGGGGTTTGAACTTTGTGTCTTGCAGAGGCTCTGCTACTTGAGCCACGCCCCTGCAGAGCCACGCCCCCCACATGAACTTTTACCTTTTGAAACATACTCTACCAAAACTATGGTAGAATGTGTACTACACTTTGTGTTTTACCTTGTAGTATATGTCCCCTTATCTAGAAGTGTACCAGTGAAAAATCATGAATTGTTTGGAGTTACATGCTAGCTAGTTTTATTAGTTTTATAGTCTGTTCTTCCTGGAGGGAGGCTGTCTAGTAAATGTGTGTGTGTTTGGGTTAAGCTATCCCAAGGGTAATACAAAAACAAAATGGTTAAATAGGAATGTCAAGATCTAAGAGAAATATACTTTATTGGTGATTTAGACTAGTTAGTTTTTGTAGTTTAGAATATTTAAGCACTAAAATATTAAATTCCTAGTATAAGAAGTAACTCATTTGTATACTGTGCATGCAGACGTGGGCTAACGTTGTGTATTAGAGATTGTTTACTTTTTATGGGAAAAAAACTGAATAAGTACCTAAGGTATTCACGTGACAATACTGTAGGGATGTCGTTTTACGAGTACAAAATTGAAATAACCTTCATTGATATGGGATTTATAGAAAATCTGCCCCCCCCCTTTTTTTTTTGCCCGTCCTGGGGCTTGAACTCAGGCCTGGGTACTGTCTCTGAGCTTTTTGTTCAAGGCTAACACTGTACCACTTGAGCCACAATGCCGTTGCTGGCTTTTTCTGTTTATGTGCTACTGAGGAATCGAACTCTAGGCTTCATGCATGCTAGGCAAGCACTTTACTACTAAGCCACATTCCCAGCCTTGCCCCCCTTTTTTTGTGGTACTGGTTTTTGTTTTTGTTTTCTTCCTTTTTTTGTGTGTTTTGTGTTGGTCCTGGGGGTTGAACTCAGAGCCTGGGCACCTCCCCTCAGGGTTTTTTTTTTTTTTGGTCCTGGGGCTTGAACTCTGGACCTGGGCGCTGTTCTTCAGCTCTTCAGCTCAAGGCTAGTGCTCTACCACTTGAGCCACAGTGCCATTTCTGGCTTTTTCTGCTTATGTGGTGCTGAGGAATCAAAACCAGGGCCTCATGCATGCAAGGCAAGCACTCTACCACTGAGCCACCTCCTCAGCCCCTGCCCTGACCTTTTTTGCTCAAGGTTAGTACTCTTCCACTTGAGTCACAGCTACACTTCTAGCTTTTTGGTGCTTTACTGGAGATAAGAGTCTTACTGACTTTTCTGACTGAGCTGATTTTGAATTGTGATCTTCAGATCTCAGCCTTCTGAGTAGCTAGGATTACAGGCAATCCAAACTGGATTTTGAACCCCTGGATTTCATGTACTAAACAGATGTTCTACCACTGAGTTACATTCCCCAACCCTTTAAAATATTTGATTTATTTTGGACAGTACTAGGGTTTGGACTCAGGGCTTCCTGCTTGCTAGGCAGGTTTCCTACTGTTTGAGCTACGC